ACCAAGGCAAAAAGAACATGAGTTACACCTCAACAGTATTGGAGCTAATCCTGCGAGAGAGCATCTAAGCAGTATGAAATAGTAGTGAAGCAATATTCTGTGTGTATTTCTACTTCAGACAAGAAACTGGAAAGCACTTAAAATTGGTTAAGCAAATAATTAAATATCTTCTGAATAAATGCAGGTATCTCAGTTTACTTATGTGAGAGGAGAATGTAAGCAGCTATCAAGGAGTCTCTTAAACTACATATACCAGGATGTGCTTTGAAGATCAGTTTGTATGACTATAGCATGGGTTAACCCAATTCACTGGACATTTCCACTCTGCATCTCCAGTTGTGACACATCTGTACAGAACTTTCATTTTGGACTACATCATTCATCCTGCAACAACTGCTTGGAATCTGACCGCACTGGAGCTTCTTGTCACCCTGAGGTGAGGAGGTTTCTACAACATATTATGAAAGACTAGGCTGGAAAGAGAAAGGCACTAGGATGTTTTCTGACCAAAATGCTGATTCCTTTAATAATTTTCAGGATTCACTTCAGATGCTCTGAGTTCTTGTCAGGGCAAAACTTGACAGAGGCAATCAGAACAAGGAGAGCTTTGATGACTGGTTATCTTGCTGAAGAGCAGATGGATGCAGACCATACTCTGTTCCTGAAGCGCAGCTGCAGCCATTGGTCTGTACCTTGAGGCTACCCTGCAGAACCAGAAGTATAAAAGAGGACATGGATTTCCCCACGAACAGATGGACATGGGAATCCAGTGGCTGAGCCAGGTGTAGCAGGCTGCACTGGGAACAGGAGATCCACTGGCTGGGAGCCAGAGGAAACCTCAGACTAGAAATACTGTCTAATATTTCATCAGATTCCTCCTCACCAAGTCTGTATGCAGGGATTTAGTTAAACTGAAGGAGCAAACCTGATAGAGATGCCAGGGTAAAATCTCTAGTTTTGTCCAGCCTTTTATACATTCGTATATAAGATCAGATTATCTCAATAAATCCTACTGACTGGAAAATCCCCAATTAAAGCATATTTTAGAAACTATTTCCATCATATGCATGTCACTGAAATTTCCCCCTTTACTGAAATAAGTTCTGTTCTGCTGAACTCCTGATGACCTTCCTAGTCTCCCTAGTAACCTCTATTCAGTGTTGCTCCATGATTTACCATTTTAGGTTTATATATATATATAGAATCAATTTTTTTAATAGGCCTGTAAGCCACTGAACTCACCACACTATTTTCAATCTTAAATAGTGTTCACATGAGTAAAAATTCAAAATCAGGACTTCTGTGTCACCTTCAGATTAATTCAGTTGCATCTGAATTACTCTGTACAAATTATTACTATTCAGAGAATTTGTTAAGAAATAAAAGTTAGTGTCATTGTCATCCACCAGCCTTTGAAAGGTTCCTGTCAGTGTGTTACAATCACTTATAATTAGTACTTGTCTCTGCTGCTCTTTACCAACTAAGTTATGATATCGTTATTTTACTCACATGATCAATTTAGGATGCAGTGCAAGAAAGAGTAATGCAGGTAATTCAAAAAGCACTACTTTCTTCTATCATAAATGGTACTACAAAAAAGGACTTTGAGACGGTCACTTTTGGTTTTCTGTGAATTCAACACATATGACTCTTTTAGTTTTTATATATATGATAGCCCAAACCAAAGCAACTCACTTTCAAACAGTGCATAAACCTAGTCCATTTAAGTGGTCCTACCTATTAGGTGTTCTGTTTGACCCCTACTAATACAATTCCTCTAGAGCTTCAAAGAAAAAACACCTATTCTCCTGATGCCCTTGTAATCTACTCTGTAGACAGACTTGTGTATTCAGAAAAAGAAGCTGAACAAGCTCAACAAGTGCTCACCTGTAAACTTTTCTGTCCAGCTCAAAAAAGCTTGAATATGCAGCAAAGGTGTTTTTTTTTTTTTTTAACATCAGGCATATTTAATAAACAGAAAGTTAAAAGTAAATGAAAATTTGTTTCAATTTGCTGAGAGACTATTTAACAGATTGACATAGTTTGAAGGTTTCCTTGAAACCGCTGTAAGAAGATTATGTGCAAAGAATAGAAGTATTTCTCAGTATTTAGGTCCCTTTAAACTTCATACCAAAAAAAGAAAATATTAACAAACTTTCAATAAAATAAACTGTATTTTAAACCACTGGGACTGCTGAATAACAAGTTCTTTGTTGTCACATCATGAACAAAGAACGTAAGAGTGAGGATAATAATGAATAAACACCACAGATGTTCAAATGAAACAGTAAATCACTATTATCAAGCACTAAGAAACCAACACTGTTATGACAGGCTTAACTCTGATCCAGAAATTTATAGGAGAGGAAAACGTAGGCTGTATTATATATTTTCCTAACAGATACTTTGAAAAGAATATATCAGTTGACATTTGTACCTGCTGACAGTTGCATTTCAATAGAGCATTTATAATTGCTTTTAAAACATCAGACTACAAAATGAAAGGGAAGCTATGGCCAAAATTAAGTTAAGCTTACAATATACTTTTAGGCATGCTGACCAGCACAGAAGTATAAATTAAAAGAAAAGTTACAGTTATGGTGTACCTGCATGGGTGGAACTAAGAAAATAACATTAATTATATTGTCAGTTCTTATGCTCTGCCTATCAATTATCTGTTTATTTGAATTCAACAATAATAATGGGTTTGCCGAACATTTAGGACTACAGTGACTGCTGGGTAAGTACTCTTTCCCTGCACACATCTTGTAGAAAGGCTCACAGCCCAATTTCTGATACAGAAGAGATATCTGCTATTGACCACAGTCCTTCAAAATACTGACCCATTAAATTACATCAAGTGCATTGGCCATTCTGACCTGTAAGTGCTGAAGGTGAAGAACTGGAGGTAAACAACTCCTTTATGGGAAAGAGTTCCCAGACTTTGGTGTAATGTTTGGTGCCATGTCATGGAACAGCTTCTGGAGCAGTATCTCAAAAGAATAAACTCTTGGTTGGGCTCAGCTTCCAGTATCCTTGCTTTAGCTCCATTTGTTGCAGCTGAAGCAACTTTATTCATAGTCAGCACAAAGTACTTTGTGTATACATGCATACTAAAAATGATGCAATTTGCATCCTTTTAAAAATATGTGTTGAAAAGGCAGACTGGTTCCTGCAAGATAGTTTTAGAAAAACTGGCAGAGTTGGTTCAGCCTGGTCTACTCTTGAGAAAAAGCATTAGTCCTTTGTTTTAGTTTGAGCTTCAAGGAAAATCTTGGGCTGAAACTATAGAGAGGCAGATAAAGAAGCAGATAAATAGTATTTCCATCCTACTTTGGAGCAGACTTTAAAGAGTGACAGAGGTCTTAAGATCCCCGGAAACACCCCTGAATTGCAATGCACTACATACCAGAGAATCGTGATCTGCACCCCATGTCCATCTGAGGTCACTTAAAAGAAAAAAAAAAAAAAAAAAAGGAAGGGGGGGGAAATCTTGCAAACAGCATTTTTCCATGTAGCCTCTGAAAAAAAAAGTCAAGGTTTCAAGGCCGAAAACAGTTGATTCAGATACATGGATATTCATAGCAAAGGTTCCCTTTTATCTGAGATGTCCTGGAACACAGAACAAAACAATGCATGTAAGTTACCTCTTTTTCTCACTTCTTATCACCTTATTTATAAACTGTAATGTTAATGAGATGCATCCATAGTAATCTACACCTAGTTTTATAATCCCACAGTCTGACAAGCAAAGCAAATTTTTTTTTTTAGGTAGTTCTCCTCCTTTGTAACAAAGTCTTTGAACTGATAAATTAGCATGCATATTCTTTTCTCTCAAACCACTTGATAATTTCTTTCACACCTGAGGTACACTATGATCATTAAGAAACATTCTGAAGATGCACAGCTGCACTGATATCATTTTCATCAATGCCTTTGAAAAACATTTCCATAATTTATCAAGGTTTTAAAAGACACAGGTTAAGAAAATTATAATCAGTGGTTTTTCAACTAGGATAACACAGCAGCCTTCTGAAGATGAGAGATGTGATGAGATCAACATACCTCAAACATTATTCAGTGTGAGGAAGGGGTCTAAAGTATGATGGACTTCAAAATTTTTAATAGATTTTTTCCCTTTTTTTTTTGCCAGCCTTTACACTGCACATTTTTATATCCTGTAGAATGATAACTTCGTCTTCCATTTAAAACACACACTGGACAACAGTCAAATATCCTTTATTTATACCTAAAGTGCTGCTTTGTGATTTTTATGAGTGAAACCTGTGGAATGGTTCATATTAGCTCTGCATCATTAATGGAGTTGAATTATCACGTTGCTTTTCGTTGTTATGGGTACTAATAACACATGTCCACAGCTGTACCATACTGTTGTTTCTTCAGAGGTCTCCAGCTCAGTTTTCTAACTCTCCCTTAAAACGCACGTTTCCAACTTCTGGGACCTGAGCAGCTGCGCTGCTCCATCCCACGCGCGAGGCGGATCCCGCTCCCGAGCGCTGCAGCGGCAGGAGCCGGTGCCGTGCGGGAGGCCCGGCACAGGTCCCACTGCCGCGGTGGCTGCCCCGCACCAGCAGCCGCAGCAGCGCCAGCCGCGCTCCCGGCCCCTCTCCCCGCAGCCGCCGCGGGGACGGGCGGCACTGCGCGGGGGGCTCGGGGCACCGGGCCGCCCTCGGCACCGGGGGCTTTACCAGCGCCGAGCAGAGCCGGGACTAAGCAACCCGCCCAGCGAACAAGTGGGATGCGGCTTAAGTTTTACTTTGCTGGTGCCGGCTCCCGGCGCAGCCGCCCGCGGGAGCCACAGCGGCAGCACCGACACCTTTTCTGGCCGAAGTTTGGCGGCGCAACACGCCTGCTCTCCTGCTCCTGCCCCAGTCCCTGCCCCTGCCCCGGCCCCCGGCCGGAGCCCCCGGGCTCAGCCTGGGCGCGATTCGCGGTACGGAGCGGCGGCGGGGGCAGGGGCGCGTCCCCGCCGTACTCACCCGCTCCCCAGGCGCACGGTCAGCAGCAGCAGCAGCAGCCGAGCCCCGCGGCGGCCGATCCAGCGGGGCGCGGGGCCCCCCCATGCATCCATGAGCGTGAAGGCGCGCTCCCTTGCCCGAGTTTTCTCCGGAGAGCCTGGGAAACTGCGACCCTACCGATCCCACCACCCCGCGGCACACGGCAGGGAGAGGGAGAGGAGGGGAGGAGAGGGGAAGGGGGAAAAAAAAAATAAAATAAAACACCCAAACAGGTAGAAACCCACTCTGCAAGGGCCGAGCAACTCGCCCAATAGGCTCATCAGGTTGCTTCATAAATTATCCTAAAAACTGCTGGACGAATCAATCCCTAGCAGAGGTGGAGCCTCCTTTACTAGAAGGGAAACATGCCTGGGAGAAAGGGTGGCATTGATTTGGTTATTTTTCTCCAAAGAGGGAAATGGACCAGACCTTACGTATGTACATATACATGTAAATATAAATAGGCAAAATGTATAAAATGTTAAATACATGTTTAAAGCTACACATATACATTTAAATATTTCTATTTTTGAAGCTACTCAGAGGGCGACTCTCAGAGACGCAGCCGGTCCGGTCCTCCCTGCCTAGCGGAGACCCGCAGCCGGGAGCAGAGGCACAGGAGGATGTGCACGGACACCCGCGGGGCTGCGCGTCTCTACGTCTGGCACGATGGAGATTTTGAGGGGGGCGGCCCTAGCCGCGGGGACGGGGCATCCGCCATCCCTCGTTCGTCCCCAGGAGAGGGAGCACACCCCTCCAGCCGCAGTCCCTACAGCCGTGCTGGAGGAGGCGGCATGCCGGGCGCGCAGGGGCAGCCGCGGGAATTGCGCGCCGCCCCGACGCGAGCGGCGCAGGCTCGGCGGCTGCCGGCGGCTCTGCGCGGCCGCGGAGCGCCCGGGGGGACGGGCGGGAGGCGGACGATGCGCCGTGCTGCGCTGTGAAATGCGCCAGGGCGTGCAAAACGCAAGGGTATGGGGTTTAGGTTTTTTCTTCTTTTTCCCTTCTTGTCTCCTTTCGGCTGCTCCCTCCTCCCGGTCCTCTCCGGAGATGTAGGCGGGAAAGTAGCCAGACATGCCCCCAGCAAGCCCGCACAACACACCCGAACCCGAGGCAGAAAAGCACCGCGGCCGCGGCAGACACCGCAGGTTCCGCGCTCGCAGGCTTTGACTGGCCGTGGGGGCGAGTGGGCACGTCCCGGCGGGACCAGCGCTTAGATAACGCGTGTTTCTTCTCTCGGCTTCAGGCTGCCACCAACCCGAATCCCTGACCCCGGCGATGCCCTTGTTCGCAGCTCTGTACCGGGCACTGACGGAGTAACCTGTGCACCGAGTTCTCGGTGGAAGTAGCAAACCGTTTTACAGCCATCATCATCATCCTCCTTTGAGTCAAGTTGTCACTGTACAGAAATGTAAATAATCCCCCATCCAGTGGTTCTTCCTATGAAAAGCAGTGTTATGTCTTCCTTACACATCATCATCTGGTTATTATTTTATATATACAGCTTACTGCTTTAATGGTTAAAGAAACTCACCATGCTTCAGAGAGCTGCAGTACATTAAATGAACATTCAACAACTTGAAAATTAATAGCCAGTCCTGGGGGTACTGGCAGACGGTAAAGGCACATATTATTGCATGACCTGAGGTCTCTTTACTGGTGGATTAACACAGCAGGCAGCATCCTAGCATGATGGCAAAGGCATGAGCTCAGAGCATATGCATTTATTACAGATTAAGTGCAGAAGCAGCTCCTCTGCTGCAGCTGGTGGCACTAGCTCCAAGAAGCAGGATTGCTGATCCTCTCAACAAGACAATGAGCACAGCACACCCCCAAGTGCCCCTCTCTCTGGGAAGTCCCTCTGCCCTGAAAATGGCCATGGTCCTTAGGTTTATTATAAATTTATATGTCAAATTGACTGCATTTTGCAAAATATGCAATGAATGCTTATGTCTTTGCATTCTGATGTTTGTGGAATCATTAAAGCTCTTTACCAGTCTATAAATTTCCACCCTGTCACTGAAAGATATGCAATTAAAGTAACTATTGCAAAAATTTGACATTAGAAGTTTAAACATACTTAAAGGATATCAAGACATAAGCAGTTTGGAGCATCTACTTAAAAACTTAATTTCACTCCTGTGTAGATCCAGCAGCTTGCTAACAGTGAAAGAGGTGGAAGATTACAGCTAAAATAACATGTAGCATGAGTAGTGAGAAAATGGAATTTTTCATTTTATTTCGGGGTTGAGAACACTAAGGCATATGGAAGTACTGTTAAAAAAATTAAAAGCAGCACCAATGGTATTTCTCAAATGACACAAAATTAAGGATGACATCTGGACAAGCTGGTTTGAGGTAGTCCCAAATCTGAATTTTTCTTGTATTTCCATGTAAACAATAGAAATCCATCCCTCTAAAAAGAGAAGAAATTATTCCACAATTAAGTAAAATACTAGATGAGAAATAGGTATAAAAGTTTTGAAAAGCAAACAGGGAACAGAAAATAACAAAAAAACTTTTACCATCAGAAGAAAACATGAAGGGAAGGAAATCAACTCAGACTGTCTGTATTCCTAAGGAAAACAAAAGAAGCAATAAATAAATTTTAAAACTGCAAGATAGAAAAGAGAATATCAAAGAAAAGCTGGGGAAGTCACCTAGTTGAGTGTCAAAAGAAGGAGATGTTGATACAGGACAATATACTAAAAGATAGTGAGTTAGTTACTAAGGCATGCAGGTATTTCTCCTCTGCTTGGTACTGGCACAGCTGACCTAACAACAGTATTTCAATTCTCAGTTAAAAACACCTTCTGATGTTGGAAGTAAGAAGGCCATCTTTAAAAAAACCCACTAAGGTGAAGAAGTGAGTTAATCATGTCTCTTCAGACCTGCTAAGCATAATTTCAGAAACATCAAATTAATCAAAGTTAAAGAAAACTGTAGGATTCACATCACTACTATTACTAAGGAGGAACCAGAATGCCTTCTGCAATGGAAAACCACGTCTCTATCTTCTTCAGTCGCATTTAATGAGTCTATCAGTAGAAGAACAGGGCTTCATAATTCAATGTCTTTCAAAACCATTTTAGTCTATCAGAAATTTGTTAAAGAAGATGCATAGTTCAGGGGTCAGTAGGAAAGTAAGGCCAGCTTTCAGACACTGCTTGAGACTACTGTCACCAATTAACTTTCCATGTTAAACAGTTGAGTTCTTACAAATCTGCTCTTGAGACTATTGTATTTAACTGATTACTCGCTAAACTAATGGTTTCAAAGAGAAGAAACACAAAAATTTGCAGATGAAAGTTTCAGATTGGTGAAGTCCATTGAAAAAAAAAAGTTAATATATTGTTAAGTCATCACAGTGTAGAATATCAATTATAAAATGGGAAGTGATGACATGCTGACAAATGGAAAAATAAAAATAATTCATGGGTTAAATTTGGTAAAGACTGTGAGTACCTAAATGTAAAATCACATCTCAGCTGCCTAGTAGTAGAAAATCAAGAGAAGACATATATTCAAAATTAACTTAAATTTCTCCAGGATTGTAGAGGAATACAAACAGGAGGAGCACTAATTTGAGCAGCTCAGCACCTAAACTTTGCCCAAGCTCACCAGAAAACTTTCTCTCCTCTTTAGATTTAAGGAGTGCAAGATAGGATAATCCAATGTAAAAGACCTCTAAAACACAGCCAGGCTAGATTAACAGCTCTCTAATTTCTTAAAAGTGTAATTGTTGATTTGGATTCCATGGTAATGCACCTAACCTCATGCACTATAAAAGGAGTAAAGGCACTTAGCACAAGCTCTTGATTTCCAGTCTTTGAGTCACCTACTCAACCACAAGGTACCTACAATCTATGATTCATCTAAAAGGACATGGGAATGAATTTTCATTATTAAAGCTGAAGTCCAAAGAGAAGGAGGAGGAAAAAAATCTGCCACATTAATATATAAAAAGCAAATATCACTGTATTTTTCACCTGGGAGGCTTCACACTTAATATTGAAGAGCAATTTGATTCTTCACAATTCAATTGCTCAGGACCACAGAGGAACTTAAAAACACTCTTATGTAATTTTACATAGCTGACATCCTACATCTGCTGTATTTCTCTTGGATATAGCTACTTCTCTGACAGGAGCATATGAGGATTGATGCCAGATTTGTATGCCTGCATACCATTTTGAGTGCATAAGGGCTTTGAAAACGTGGACTTAGTGGATGACCCATCTTCGTTCACTGTGCTTGAGGGAAGTTAATGGCTCTCATGTGGTTTTTTAAGGAGCACTTACCTGCTGAGAACGAAGTTATCCTATGTGTGGAGATGGAAGAACAAATTATTATGGTGTTCTGTCCTTCACAAAAAAAAAAAAAAAATCATATAGAACAGCAAGAGCTCAAGGACCACTGCAGTCATGTCTTCAGAAGGGTAGGTTTACATAACAATATTTTGATGAAAATGCACACCTTTACTGTGTATTCACAGAAGAATTTCCTGTGTGCACCTCACACCTTAGATTTATAGAATCAGAGAATACTTTAGGTAATCTGACTTCAAAGGTAATCTAGTCCAATCTGCCTGTCATGGGCAGGGACAATTTCAAAATGTACACACATGTAATTTGTGTGCTTGCATTTGAGTAAGCACAAACATAAGAACAGAGTCACATGCATGGTGTTTAAAACCTGCAACCAAATGAAAACACTTCCATTCTTCTGAGGGAAGTTCAGAAAATGTGGTTTTAAATATGCGTCATCATGGTTAATCCTACCTGAATGTTTACTCTAATATAAATTTAAAGAGCTATCTTAAACAGCATAGTAGCATAGTACTACAACAAATGTAAAAACATCTCAAAAATAAAGAAAACTAATGAAAATATTTTGGTACTGGCCTTTTTAAAAGGGGCCTTTAGACTTGATGGTGGTGGATATCCACAGGAGGAGAAGAGAAAGATGCAGAAATGTAACTTCAGTGCACTTGTATTTTGTGATTTGAACCACAAAATAATTGCTTTCAGTGAAACAGTCAACATCTTAATAGAAAATAAATTATAAAATTCTCACT